AAAATCTTAAAAATAAATAAATAAATAAATAAATAAATAAATAAAATCTAAAACAACAACAACAGTAACGTTAGAACAAGGACATACACCAGAAGGGACAGAAACCACATCTAGTGGTTCCAGGAGCCTGTGTTTGGGACGGTGAGTGACCGGTCCGTGACCAGCTCGGAGGGATAGGAGGTGGTGTCCAGGGCAGGGCACTGCTGGGTGATGCAGCCCTCTGCCCTCTGTCCTCCCTGGAGGGGCTTTGGTCCTGTTTCCCAGGCAAGAGCACTAACGAGGAAGGCAGAACTTCTGTCAGGAGAGCAGACGCTGTCCTTGAGACTCTGGCCAGCACTCTGTCCCAGGGCCACCCCCAGCTGCTCGGGGAAGGACAAGCAAGCACCATGAGCTGGGCGTTGTCCAGGGAAAGCCCAGGGGAGCCACTGTGCCCGCCGCCTCCCTGCCTGCGACCTGCCCCTTTAGTGGGGAGCAAACCAGTGCAAGACAGTGAGGGGGTTCATGTCACAACCTGTGGGATGCGGCTGGAGAGTCTCAAGAGAAACCTTTACAACCTTAGATGCCCTTATTCGAAAATCAAAGACTGAAAGTGAATTATCTGAAGTTATAACTGAAGAAGCTCGAGAAAAGGCTACAACATAAACGCAGGGGCCAAAGAAGCCGGGATTTATGGAGGAGGAAAAAATAGGAGTCTGCATGATGAATACATTAAAAAGCCGGTTCTTGGAAAAGACAGACCAAGCAGACAGAACGTGGCAATCCGTCAGCCAGTGAGGCTCTGGGAGAGCCTGCGGGGTCCCCGGCCCTGCCTTCTCGGGCTCCCCATCAGCTGCCCTCTGTCCTCTCCCTCTGTGTTGCTCCAGTCCCTCCTGGGAGCCAGCTATTTCCAACAGTGCCTGCCAGGCCCCGGATTCTGTCTGGGGGTCCCCATGGCTGGGCCAGGGCCGGAGCTGGGGCCCCCTGGGGCCGGTGTGGAGGCCAGGGCAGAGAGGGCTGACCGTGCACCAGGAAGGGCGGGGCAGGGCAGCAGAGAGGCGAGCGCACACCCAGACACTCCGAGGAGGGGTGGTCTCCCTGGGGGAGGGCAGCATGCTGACCTCACCAAGGTGTTTTTTTCATTGGCCTGGTTTCATCCTGGCCCCTGTGGATGCTGCAGGCTCAGCTCCTCTGTGCTGGTCCCCAGAGAGATGCTCTCAGACCTTGCCTAGCAAAACCACCTTCCTGATGGGGAAGCAATTAACCAGCCGGAGCAACTGTCCTGCATCCCTGGGGCCAGCGAGCCTGGATTCTGGTTGGATAAATGGGTGAGATAATCAGCCCTGAGCCCAATTACAGTCTGACGGGCAGCTACAGCGGGCAGACCACGTGGCCAGGAGAGCAGTAGAAGGTTTCTGGTGTTTCTGAGAGCACAGGCGCATGGTCTGGAGTGGACGGAGAGCCAGACTCTCGCAGGGCTCTGTGGCCGTGGCCTGGCCAGTGGCCGGCGGCCCCTGTGAGGCTGACCATGCGATCAGGAAGATGGCTCACCACACAGCTTTCCACGAGCGCCTGAATCAATCTGTCCGTCCATCCGTCCATGCAGAATCGCCCGAGAACAGCAAACCTGTGTGGCACGTTACTATTTTCTGTTGTTGAGGCAGAACACACTTAGTCTTCTGGGCTCATCTCGCATGTGATCTGCGAGCAACCAGCACTCAGATCCAGATCCAGAACATGCAGCCCCAGGAACCCCTCCTGCCCCAACCCATCACTGCCCTCTGGAACTTTCCATGAGCAGAACCGCACAGCGTGAGCTTGGCATGTCTGGCCTCTCCCATTCTGCTTCATGTCTGTGGATTCCCCTACACCAGCACTGTGGTTTGGGGTAGCAACCCCATTTAATTTAATTTGAATATTAAAATATTCCTTCATTTGAGGGCTCCCTTTAGGCGTCTGTTTGACTTGCCCCACATTGATATACCCGCAGCTTCAAGGCTTGCATTATTTTAATCTCTAAAGAGAGAGTCGGCTGTTGAAAGCAGAAATAATCAGGTGTTGTGTGGTCCCTACACATGAGGACGTACACCGCTGCACGGGCCGTGGCCAAATGTGGCCTGAAGGACCCCTGTGGTAAGCAGCCACAGCTGGACGTGACACCCTAAGCAGCTACCGAAATCATACCGTAAAGAGTCACAGCTGTCACAGCCAACTCAGAACGAAAGGTGCGATCACAAAAACGCGTCCAGAAGAAGGCAGGGAGAGAGGAAAAGGGCAGAGCAGAGGAAGACAGACTGGAGCCCGAGCCCGAGCCCGAGCCCGGAGTATGGGTTCTCGCAGCCAGGACAGCACCGCCAGCAGACGCTATGGCCTGG